TATAAGTTTGTAATTATATTTTATTTAATAATTAAAAAACCTTTGTACTGTTAAAATCATAAATTGCCATCCATTTAATAACTAAAGAGCCGGTGGCGAGCACATGCTCCATCAACTTCAAAGTGGGGTTCCTATGGTGTTTATATATTTGTTTTGTCAAAAAATTTATGATAATAATGGGAGTGTCATTATCATAGCTATAATATATTTCCATTGTTTTTCTTTTCTCTTTCTTGTCTTTTTATGTCATGTCATCCTTTTTTGTTTTCTAGAAACTGAATTATTTTATTTTCTTCAATGAGCTTTGGATCCTTGTAAAACACGTATAGACTTTTGTGTGTTTAAATACTCGAGGAAGCTTGGTTATGTAACTTGTAAAGAGCAAAAATCAAATTTGTTGCTTGCACAGGTAATAGGCTAAAATTATATTTATTTTTTCATTTTAAAAATATTTTTAAGAAAAAAATAATTTAATTTATTTTTTCTTTACTTTAAATTATTATTTTTATATTCAAATGATTTTGATATACTAATATTATAAATGAATTTAAAAAAAACTAAAAAAATAATATTTTATTATACTTTCAAAAAAAAAAAAAATAAAAGACAAGCCCCGCTTTACTTATTATTAACAACATTCCTATAATATAATAAAAAAAATAAATAAAAGACAAGCCCCGCTTTACTTCTCATTATTAACAACATTCCTATAATATAATATAATATACAACCGTAATCGGTGCATCAATCTTCAAAGCTTAAATATTGGCCAAAATAAATTCAAAAGTAAAATAAATATAAAAAAACTAAAGCATGCACAAAACAATATTCATTCAAATTCATCCATCAGCACTGTTTATAAGGCGCATCTTTTTACACCTTCATCCTTATAGTTTTAACAGTTTAAATCTTGGTTATAAAACTTTATTTTTTTATATTTCAATCCCTAATAATTAATAAAGCCGAACAGAAAGAGGAGAGATGAAATCTTCAGCCAGATGGTTTGAGCCTAAAAAAAGAGATCAGAATTTAACAAGTTTATTTTATTTTAGTTTAATTTAATTTGAAGTTTCAACTGATTAAAATATGTTTTGGAGTTATGATGTTTTTAAACAGATACAAATTGAGATTTTTATTGTGAAGTAATAAATAAATAAATAAATAAAATAAGATCTAGATTCTGCGGTCATCGTAGGTGGATGAAAATTATTGCAGGTGAGAAGATGTCCTCCCCTGCTTTTGTTTTTTAAGGGCAGGTGCACTGGCTTGCTGTTCAAAGTCAAGACGCGTCTTGGACTTTTTTTTTTTTAAAGGGCATGCATTTGGATTTCTAAACCTAACCACGTCTGGCCAGTTCTTTCGGGCTTGATTCTCTTTGTGTTTTGTTTTTTAATTGTTGTATTTTTTATATTTTTTTAAATAAGAAAATTACAATAATCTTAAAAATCATTTGAGGATGCCATACTTTTCAAATAATATTGGATTTTTTATGATAATAGTATGATTAATTATTCATGAACTTAACATGTAAATTGTTATAAAAAATATTTTTTATGAATATTCAATTAGAATAAAATATCCATTTTATTATTTTTATCTGTAAATTTTTCATATAATTTTATCAAATTAATTATTGATAATTATTTATGAACCTAACATGAATTTTTTTTTAAATAATTATCATGATTATTTTATGAGAATAAAATATCTATTTTATTATTTTTTATATAATGTTATTAAAATAACTATTGTTTTATCTGTTCATACAATTTCTCAAAAGGTATTGAGTCATGATTTTTTTTCATTGAAAGTTGCTTTTCGATCATGACAAGTTCTTATTTAAAAAAACAATATATCTAATAAAAAGAGTTTTCATGAAAATAAAAAAGAAATACATGAATGAAAAAAAAAAGAGTTTTGATCAAGGCAAGACATTTTTCTCTTTAATTTAAATAATTGTATATTCTTACAAATATTTAATATAATTTACTTTTGTTTTTATTTTAAAAACTATACTGCTAATGATATATATGTGTGTGTCTTGTTTTAATTGTTTCCTTTCTTTAAGTATCTATTTTAAATACCATCAAATTAAATAAAAATAGATTTGAAAAACGTCACACGACATCATGCTAACATGCACTCTAGTAAAAAAAATTAAAAGAAAATGGTATTTTACTATACACCATCCTCTACTCATATAGAGAGTAATGCACTATGTATTAAACCATGCATCCATAGTGCAATTTGAATTAGTGGGGCATAAAAAAATATACTTTGTTCCCTAGTTTTTTTCTTTCATATTTTGGTCTATATAGTTTTAGCTTTTGTATTTTGGCACAAAACTTTTTTTTTTCATGTTCCTGTTTCTAAATATTGAGAAAACAAAAAAAAAATTATTAAAAAAAAAATGAGAAAAAGACAAAGTTTAGCCAACCACATTACGGCTATAAAAAGGTCCTTAATCATGGAGGAGGGCTCGCCTTGGAAAGAAGAGTTTGATGAAAATGAGTTGAATCTTTAATCTGTTGAAGAAAAAAAATTGGAATTCTCAAAGTTTAGTTTGGTTTTGAGTTTTTAACTTGATTAGAGAATATTTTGAAGTTGAAAATTGAGTTACTAAGATTCAAATGATGTTTCTAATGAGTTCTTAAGAGAAAAATGTGTTGGAATTTTAGGTTTGGGGTCCATAATACTTTAACCCGTTTTTTAATGGTCCATATATATATATATATATTATGAAGTGGACAACTCTATTTGAGTTTTTTAAAAAAATCAGGTGTGACTAAGTTTCTTCTAATAAGTCAGATTTGCTCGCCTAATCTTTTAGATTTAAGAGCACTTGACTTTTTCTAAAAGGCTAGGTTTATAGGTTCGAGCTTGATTCTTTTAGTTTTTCATATTTTTTTCTCTATTTAGTCGTTTTATTTTTCATATATTTTATAATTTTTTAAAATAAAATTATCAAAATGATTTTTAAAGAATTATCCAGTTATGCTATAATTTTCAAATAAGTTTATAGCTTTTTATTGCAATACTAATATCTTTTTTATGAATATTCTATATAAGCCTAACATGCATAATTGTTTATATATATATATATATCTTATTATTTATATTTTTCTCTTGTTTATATATATATATATATATATATATATATATATATAAACTAGAGTAAAATATAAATAATAAGTTATGTATTTTATTTTTAAGATAATTGTCTGTTAGAAATAAAATCTATGTAAGTTATATAATAGAAAACTAGTACTTTAGATATAATAGTCTCTCTTCTAAATAACAATTTAAAAAAAAATTAATGATGATTTGTATGGATTATTGTTGGATATTGAATAATTTAATAACTTATAATTTACAACAACTAATTTTTAAATAATTATTTAAAATAAAAAAATCAGATATTTATATAACAAATCCCTATACAGTTCTACAAATATATAACGGAATTTCAAGGACTCCCAAATTATTTTTTGTTTTTTTTTATTTTCTTTAGGTATATAACATTCAGGAAACCAATAGTGCTAACACAATGCATTATGCATGCAGGGTGGAGCTATGAATTTTAGTTTGGGAGGGCCAAGTTAGAGAAGATTTTTAGGAGGGGTTAGAAATAATTTTTTTCTATTTTTAAAGCTAAAATTCTAATTTATTAAAAGAGGTGACTGAAAACAAAATCCTTGCAATGGCCGCTTTCGCTGCCAGCCCCACTAATTCCACGTGTGGTGCTGCACAATCAAGATCCTTATCACTCCTTACTTCACTGAAAACTTAACTCATGGGAAAAAGAACACTATAGTAACTAAATATTTTTTTAGTGGTGTAACCAATTGTTCTTTCTTTCATGGCTTTTGGCTAAATTTATTTTAATTTTTTATAATTCAATGATATAAATATAAATATTTTTTTACTTTTATTTTTTTTAAAAAAGTAACCATTAATTGAAATACTCATGCGCGGAGGAATGCCAAGGGCTAGGGTGGCTCTAGCCCAGATAAGATTTTATCAATATTTTTTTATTAGTTTTGTATAAAATAATTTATAGTTTTTAATTGAGTTATTAAAAAATTCTAAAATTTTGCTTAGAGCTTTGTAATATAATACTTAAGCTAGGGTTAAAATTTTAGAATTTTTGAAGAAATTTAAAAATTTGATGAAAAATCATAATTTAACTAGTTTTACGTTATTGTACATTATTTTCATTCCGACCATCAGATTAAGATGAAATTTTATAAGGGATTTTAAAATATATTAAATAAAATCTGGTTAAAATTTTAGAATGAATGGAGCTCGGTAGTATTAATAAAAAAAACTATCAAATAAAGACAAAACAATTCATTAAGGGTAAAATAATTATTTATCATTAAAAAATAAAACAAATCACATTTTTCTTCCTTTTATATGTTGTTGACTGGGCAGAAGCAGCATAAAAAAAAAAGTCAAGATAGAAAGAGAGAAAAGTAAGGAAAAAATATAAAAAAATTCAAGAAAAAAAAGTGAGAATAACCTTGTAAAATTCCAAAGTCTAATTTATAAAATACTAATCTAAAAAGGAATTAAGTGAGGGAAGAAGGAATTGAAAAAGAAAAAAATTAATTACTTTATTGATTGTTATTTTATCTTAGTTGAGAAGTTATTACAATATCAATTTAAATTTGATTATAAATAAATTATATTTTATAAAACATCGGAGAGTGAGATAATTTTTACTTTTTACTTTAATTTGATATATTTTTAATTTTTTTTAATATTTTAGATAATATATTTAAATTAAAACTTTACTATTAACTTTAAAAATTCATATAAATTATTTAATAATTAATTTTAAAAAAAATTATATATATATTTAATACCCAAATAGAAAAATTTTCCCCGTGCTTGGAAGAACTGTACTGTCAAAAAGAAGAAAAATCAGCACGAAGTTCACATTCGAGACTTGGTTGGCCCCCTGGTTCGTTAAATATCAGAAGTGATTTCCATGTCAAAATTAAAAATCACTGAAGTCCCTGGAAGATTCACTCGTTAATCTCCAGACAAGCTGATAAGGTCTTGCTTTTTTCATTGAAATCTGCTTGCTGTCCGTCCTAATTGGCTCTTGTATTCAGTCTCTATATACCGATCTTAAACCTCCTTTCTCAATACTCTTAAATTTATACAGGTTTGCCCTAATTCCTAGCCTGGGAAATCTTCCTTTTCTCCATACCTTGAATTGATGGCAGAGAAACTTCACATAGTGATGCTTCCATGGATTGCCTTTGGCCATATGATACCTTTCTTTCAACTTTCCATAGATTTAGCCAAAGCTGGAATCAAAGTCTCCTTTGTTTCAACCCCAAGAAACATCAAAAGACTCCCTAAAATTCCTCCAAGTCTAGCAGACTTGGTGACATTCGTAGAGTTTCCACTACCAAGCTTAGACAATGATATCTTGCCAGAAGATGGAGAGGCCACGGTTGACATTCCTGCCGAGAAAATCGAGTACCTGAAGATTTCATTTGATCTCCTGCAGCACCCCTTGAAGCAGTTCATCGCCGATCAACTTCCAGACTGGATAATCATTGACATGATTCCTTATTGGATGGTAGAGATTGCTAGAGAGAAAAAAGTTCCTCTTATTCATTTCTCTGTTTTCTCTGCTGTTGCATATGTGTTTCTTGGGCACCCAGAGTGCTTAGTTGGCGATGGTCAAAGAAGACTAAGGCCGTCATGGACGAGTATGACATCGAAACCAGAGTGGGTTGACTTTCCCTCCTCGGTAGCTTATCGAAACCAGGAGGCTGTTGGAGTTTTTGAAGGGATTTATGGAGGAAATGCTTCTGGGATCACGGATAGTGAAAGGGTCTCCAAGATACTCCATGGATGCCAAGCTTTCGCGGTACGCAGCTGTGCCGAGTTTGAAGGAGACTACTTGAATCTATTTGAAAGGCTGATAGGAAAACCCGTGATCCCAGTAGGTCTGTTGCCACAGGAGAAGCCAGAAAGAAAGGAATTCACTGATGGAAGGTGGGGTGAAATCTTTAAATGGCTTGATGACCAAAAGCCGAAGTCCGTTGTGTTTGTAGGCTTTGGTAGCGAGTATAAGCTAACCAGAGATCAAGTATATGAAATTGCTCATGGGCTAGAGTTATCTGGATTGCCATTTCTGTGGGCATTACGAAAACCAGGTTGGGCCAACGATGATCTTGATGCTCTGCCTTCAGGATTCGGTGAAAGGACATCTGACAGAGGGATTGTTTGCATGGGATGGGCGCCACAGATGGAAATCTTGGGTCATCCATCAATTGGGGGATCATTATTTCACTCTGGGTGGGGTTCTGTCATTGAAAGTTTGCAGTTTGGTCACACCCTTATTCTCTTGCCATTCATCGTCGACCAACCTTTGAATGCAAGGTATTTGGTTGAGAAGGCTTTAGGTGTGGAGGTACAGAGAGGGGAAGATGGGTCATTTACCCGGGATGGTATAGCCAAGGCTCTGAAACTCGCAATGGTATCCGAGGAAGGAAAAAGCTTGAGGGAGAAAGCAAGTGAAGCTGCTGCGATTTTCGGAAACCAGAAGTTGCATCAAGATTACTATATTGGTAAGTTTGTTGATTTTCTCAAAAAGAAGAAATGAAATGTTTGAAGGACATGGTCACAACTCGCAAGGCAGATTTGATCATCACCCATGCTTGAGATTTTATTCAGGTGCTTCATGTTCTCGAGTATTCAAATATGGAATAAAACAGGGTTTTTTTTTTTTTTTTTGGGTAAAGAAACTTCTTCAAAATAGCTATTTGAATGGACATCATGCAGCATTTAGCTGCCTTTATAACGAATTCATGGGCACCTGCGCACTGCGTTAATTTCAAACCATGGTGTCCGATGAGAAACAGAGAGAAAATTAAGACGTGAAATAAAAGACTTCATTTCTCGATTAGACCGTCAGCGG